CCCGTGGCGAGAACCGGGATTGCACAAAGAGGCCTGGCTGGCATGTGTGAACTCTGGCAGGGCTGCGGGGGAACATCTGGGCCCGGTGGCTTGGAATGCGCTCGGACAGCAGGGTGCAGGTCTGGCTTCCTGAGGCCCCGAACGCAAACCTCGGCCGCTTCCTTCCATCGGATCAGCTTTCGCCCGTTTGGGGCGGGGATCTGATTTTTTTTGTTTTAATTTTTAAAGAAAGAAGGCAAATGGGGAGAATTTGTGGCATCCTTTTCTTTTTTTCAGCCTGGCATGGCGTGAGCCAGACAAGCCTGCTTCGGGAAACAGACCTTGGAGAGGGTTATGTTTATATTTTTAAAGAAGCCGCTTTCCTTTCGAACAGAGTGTTGTTTTCAAGATAAAAACTCATAAAAAAAGGACTTGCAACTCCCCATAGCCAGAAGTATTGGATCAAAGCAGTTAGGCTTCACGGCTGAAGGGATCCTCCCTGTTTAGGCGCAGTCTCTCTGAATTTCCAGTGACAACCGTTCTGCATACGAGGCTGCTAAAAGTTGAGCTCAGCAAAATATTTATTTTATTATTAGCTGGGATGCTAAGCTCCGTGCGACAGAGAGCTGGCAGGCTGGGAAAGTGGAAATCTCAGGGCAGCAAAATCCGAGCCTGCAAATCCAGGAGTTGTCTACCTGAGTCGCAGAACGGGGGAGAGGGTTTGCAGTGATGCTATTCTAGTGGGGCTTTCTGGGCACGTGGGGCTGATTTTCGAGGGCTCTCCAATAGGCTGCCAGAAAGCAAGACAGCTCACTCCGGCCGATCCGAAGGGGAAATCGAGGAAGCCAAAACACGACCTGGCGGAAAGAGGAAAGGCTCAGCCCCTGCTGGACTACCATAAACTGTGCCTCCCCCTTTTCCCCTCCCCAGCTCGATCTGACTCAGCCTCTGAGCGCACACCGCATGGGTGGCCTGGCTACCCCCTCTTGCTGGGCACTTTGGCACGCGGCAGATGCTCCGCGCACCCTGAAGCCTCCTTCGCGGCGCTTGGAAGACGCTTTTCTGTTTCAGCTTGGATTTTGGGCGAACGCTCTGGCCTCAAGCGGTTCAGGAGCAGGGTACGGAGGCCAGCTGGCGGTGCCCGTCGCTGTCACCGCCAGTTGCCCGCCATCAGCTGCCCAAACCCTGCCAACGAAGCCCTTAAACGCAGCATCCCTAATTCCGCGTCTCTCAATGGCTCCAAGGGGGCGACGGTTGCCCTGGGCAGGCTGCTTCTGGAGCGTCTCTGAATGAGTCCCTGTCGCGACCTTTGCTCTTTGGCCCAACTCCCATCCCATCCTATCTTGAAAGGTGGCCTTGGTCGCCCTTCCCGACTTCGGAGAGTTCGCTCTGCAATTTAGGACTCTGCCAGCTTTTGCATTTTACCTGGAGATCAACCCTTCCTGGTTCGCACAGAGCCGTCTGTCTTTCTTCCTCTTCTGGAGTGGCGAAACCACGGCCTCTCGGTGCTGTTATTTCTCCAGGGGGATTTGCTGCCACAAGCAGAGGGCTTTAAAGAGAGACCGGATTGTGCAGAGAAGGGTCAGATGTCCTAACTGCTCAAACAGAACCTCCTGTCTGGAGACAGTCTACCTGTGCTGCTGCTTTGCTGTTTAGAGATTGGAGAGCAGCCAGGAAGAATCGGTGCTTTCGAGGGTCCTCCTTTAGGGCTCATCGGGAGCATTGGGGGGTCGTGGCAAGAGGGGGAGCAGTGCGCCCTGCAGATCGGGCACTCGCCCACGTACCAATGCGTCAAGCCTTCACCCCGCCGTGAGCAAAGCGGGAGACCTGCCCGCTCGGCTTGACCTCCCGCAATCGAGAGTCCATTTTCCCACACCGGGTTTTGTGCCTCGGTCTTGAAGGGGAAGGAGGGGTTTCAGCGTGGTTCGAAGGAAGACGGTGGGGTGGGACGCGGGGGGAAGACGTGATCATTTCCAGATGGGCAGCACTGACTGAAGCGGACATTCCTTCGGGTACTTGAGGGGCTTTTCACCGCCCGCCTTTCCCTCCCGTGCCCAGAACGGCTCGCTTCGGCACCCGAGCCCGGCCTGCCTGCCGAGAGGGAAACGGAGGGCGCGCTCAGAGATGCTCCCGTCCCGTCGGTTTGGAGGTCGCATCTCTGCCGCTGGCATCCGGCGGCGAACCCGGCCTTGCTCTCTTGCCCTCCTTCCTGGTTCTCCGCGGACACCCTCTCCTGAAACAGAAAAAAGGCTCCAGGCAGAGCCGTTTCTGCACAGGCAGGGACCCTAATTCGGGACTGGGGCTTTCCCCTCGCTGAGAGGAGGAGGGGGCAAAGTGGGGCGAGGGGGTGGGGGTCTCGGGCACCTGGAAAACTAGCCTGAGGCCAGAGGCGTCCTTTCGGTCACTCTGCCAACGAAGAATGCTTTTGCTGAGGCCATCTGAATATTGTCCTGAGACCAGCGGGCTGCCCTGAACGCCTGCTCGCATTCACGGGTGGCTGAGCTGGTCCTTTAAAGCCGTCCGGATAAGATCCAACCCTGACGGAATATATTCCTTAGCGACTCCTGTTAATGGGTGTTGTAAACCCAGAATAAAACTGCTGACAGCCGTGCAGTCAGCTAAAGCTCGTCGATGGATTCGTCCTCTACAGAGCATCCTCTACAGGCGCAGTCTACCTTAAAGCATCCACTCCCTGGTCATGAGCTTCCCAGAAGCACCTGCATGGCCATTGTGAGGGAGCGGACCCTCGGCTAGAGGAGACTTGGATGATTTACCCGGTCTTCATTCTCTTTTTAACTCTGGGGCAGTGCAGATTAAACCAGGATCCGTTTGCCTCTTTTTCTACCCCCTTTCAAAGTCTCTCTGGATCGGATCTTGGGGGCAAACGCGTAGCTCGGCTGGGCTCCGGTTCTGCTCTCCCGTTATGCCCCGAGACCAGCCTGGCGCTGCCTTTGACGGAAGACGCAGCTGGCAGCCTTGGAAGCTAAAGGGCTGGTGACGGTTCCCAGATGGCGCGTGGCCACCCGGGCACCCTCTCTCAAAGGCGGGACAGAGCGCGTGCACGCAGGCCCTCCGACTCCCCGCTGGCGGATGAATTTTAACCTTGAAAGGGCGGCCATTTCTGACCAAAAGGAGGCTCCGGCAGGAGAAGGGGGGAATGAGCTATAGGGTGGGAATGTTTTTCCAAAAGAAACTCAAACTGTAAACTTGGAAGAGGGAGAGGAACAGAGATCAGCTGTCCTGGCTGGTGGAGGGGAGGAAGAGCGCTTTCAAAGGAGATCTTAGGCAGGTGGTTGCAGCTGTGAGTTCAAACAGGAATGCCTTCCCACACTTTTTTTGGGGGGGGGACACACAAAGACAACAGAGAGTGGGCGGAGGGGCGTGCGCACACCGATCTCTTTTCTTTGCCAGTTTTATTGTATTTCCCAGAACGGCACCTTCCCCGGCCGTTCCCAGAAGAAGATACAAAATAAGATTCGATGGGAGACGCGGGGGGCTCGCCACCAAGAGGGGAAGCCAGCAAGTCCAAAGGTCTCCAGGGTGCCCATCTCCCCGAGGAGGGGCCACGGTGTCTCAGCTGCTCTGCCACAGAGGGGTGGGCACCGGGTCACTGCTCCTGTGGAGGAAAGACAAGCCCTGTTACGCCTCCGAGGACCGTCTAAAGCAACGTCCTCTCTGGGCACAAAGTGCCCTCTCTGCGGGACGGTTTCGTGGTTTGCCATTAGAAAAGATCTCTTTGCATGTTCTTGAGAGGAGAAAGAGATCAAGGATGGACCAGTGGTTTGACACCGTTGCAGGAAGCCTGGCACTGGGGGGGGGGAGTGCCCCAGATATGGCTCCCTCCTGCTTCCGCTCACCAGTCCACTCGGCCCAAAGTCCCTTTCCCTGCCCCTTGAGAAAAAAAGCAGGACAAGGCCAGCTGGCAGCGGAGCTGATCGCCTCCTGGTGCCAGCTCCAGGCAAGGGACCGGTCTGTTTACAAAGCCTAACCCCCCCGCCCCCCGCAAATCCTGGTCACGGGGCTGACGTTCTACCCCATCTTCCCAAAACAGATGCCCCGCAGATGTGTCAGGACGCTGAGAGGGGAAAGCGCTCGAGCGGGGAAAGGCCCTTCACACACAGGGGTTGATGGTGGGGAGGGGGAGAGCCGTGGAAGAATTAATTGGGGGCAGACACGCAAGGAAGAATGAGCCCAAGATGGCTTGGTGACAAGAGGGAAGGATTGGATAAATAAAAGAGAGAAACCAGGCTGGGGGGGAGGGCCCAAAGCTGTTTCTGACTCTGTTTCCAGACGGCAGACCTCCCACCCCACTCCCGAGTCTGCATCTTTTATCTCCAAATCCCACGGAGCAGACAATGGCGGCTGGGCGCCCTTTCTCGATGCGCAGGAGTGAAGCCTGGAGGGGGGTGCTCTTACTGCAAAATGGCCATTTAAGCGGAACCTGGAACTGTAACCCACGGTAGCCTCTTGTGATTGGACTTCTTTAGGCCCCGGTTTACAGATTTTCGCATCTTCCGTTACAGGCATGTGCGTTTCTGCCACAGGTGGCCGATGGAGTTCAGAAAGGCATCGGAAACATGCAGGGACTCCCCCCGTGTGGGCATTGCCGGGTGCCCAGTTAAACGGTTCGGCAGGCAGCCTCTGTTTCCAAGAATTCGCTGGCAGGGTTAGGAACCGCTGCCCGCCCTCCGCGTTAAAGTGGGCGTTCTTCAGTGGAGACTCACCTTGACGAATCTCCCATGGAGAAGGTAAGGAGACTGGAAATCGTGCTGGCAGTTGGAATACGCCATGCCTAATCCCATCCCTGAGCCAAAAACGACGGGCCAGGTCTTCCCTGAAACGAAACGAAAGGGATCAAGAACACGGGCCCACGACAGGCTGTTCGTGTGCGAAGCTAAAAACCCTAGAAGGGCAAAGGTGATGGCAGATAGCTTAGCAGCCGCAAGATCAGGAAGTCCTCGTTCGAGACTTCAGGAGTTGGAGGTGACTCACGCTCTCTTGGCGTTCCGAAATCCTGTAACGCGTCTCTTTCACCAGGCTTTTACTTGCTAATTAATTTTAATTTTAGCTTTCCTTTTTTTAGATCCAGGGTTTGTTTTTTAAAACACCAAGAACTGTTGGCTGCCCTGGGTACTTTGCTAGCGTTGAAGGCCAGGTATGAGCCGTCGCTAGCTTCCTCACGGCTTGCCACGCCGTATGTCCACAGCCAGAAAAATTAAAATATCTCCTTTCGCTTGTTCATGTAAATGATCCAAGGCACACCAAGAGCCTGAAGCCACATACGTACCCAGCTCCTCTCCTTTTCAAAAACCGCCTCTACTTTCTCACCAGGAGGAGATTCCCACTCACCGTAGGCGACTCCAATCTTGCAAGCCTAAACAAAGTGTTGAGGTGAAGCCTAGGAGATACAAACCCAGCCTGAAAACAGCCGATCCCTTGAATATGGCCGTGAGGAGGCTGGATCCCTTGAGGGATCCCTGCTAGAAACTCTGAAAAATGGCCCCAATGTTCCTGTATTTCCAAGGACAAAGGGGGGGGGCGTGCTGACCCTCGCCTGGCCTTGCGTGTCAGGCCCGTGTGGCATTTCGTGCAGGTTGGTCAAGAGGGCCAGAGCAAGTGGCCTGAGAGAAGAGCAGCTGAGATGCAAGAGGAGGAGCCGAACCTCTCTGAGAAGGAAGAGGCCGGGGAATGCAACCCTCACTCACTTTTGAAGAAGATGACGGAGAAGACGACGCCTAACCCGAACCCAGCACCTGAAAGAAGACAAAAGGAAGAGTTAAGGCAGGTTGCCGGTTTCCCGCAACCAAGCGTGAATTGAGGGAGGGTTTTCTGCCGGAGGAGACCTCAAACGCAGCTCCTCTGCCCCCTTCCAGACCTTCCCCGTCCTGGCTGCCTTACCCAATTCCCATCGCCTGTTTTCTCTCTCATCTTGGCGTTCCTGGCCATGCTAGGCAGGAATTCACCAGGGGTGAGACCTGGAATTTTGTTCACACACAAGGATGTGAATCACCACTGAGTTACGGTCGATGCCAGTGAGCCCAATGCGTTTCAAAAATGTGTCCTGGAAGCATTTTCCCATAGCCACAAAGCGCTGAGGGAGCCCTCTCCCTGCCCACGACCGACAGACGGGGCTCCCCATCTCCCCCAGCCATGCCACTAAGGCCACTGCGAACGTGTCCAACTTTCCCAAGTCTCCCACCTTCTAAGGCCACGACGGCTAGCGCGAGAGGACCCCCCCAAATCTGGCACTGCAAAACCCTCCGCTTTCGTTCCCGTTGGTTTGTTTTCCTTGTAAGTGAGACCTTTCATGTTTTATTTTTATGAAGTTAAAGGCTGGCCTGGAGGTGCCGATCTTTAGTAGAAACAGCTGCCACAGATGATGCCTATTCATCCGTTCGGACGATGGGAGAGCGTGCCGCCCCCAAAGAAAGGAAATGGGACCCACCGGCATGGCTCTTTCATCTTTTTAAACCCGGCGCTCTGCCTATGCTCAGGGATGCTCAGTGGCTTCCTGTGTTCTGAGCTGAGCAGTGCAGATACCAGCTGACGGACGGGGCTGTCGAAGTGCAAACGCCACCCGGGTGCCCAATGCGCAATTAATCAAGTCTTCAGAGCCCACTTTCCCCAACCTGGCGGCTTCCAGATGTGTTGGATTACAATGCCCTGGGCTGGTTGGGAAGGATGGGAGTAGTGATCCTACACATCTGTCAGGCCCCAGGCTGGCGAAAGGGGAGACTGCTTGATATCCCCTGCAGAAACATAGAAAACTTCCAGAAAGCAAATGGGCAGATGGGAAGTTTGTAAACCGTTCTCGGCGGACGTGTCCCCAAGATCCTGGAGGCTGATTCTCAACCAAACGGAGGAGCAACTTCGGGACCGCTTTGCCACCAGGAAACTTCCAGCGCCGTTTCACCATCTGAGGCGACCCTTCCACTTGACCACCCTCCCCAACGTGGGGCTCTCCTGATGTTCTGGATTGCAGCTGCACCGGTCGCGTTCGGGGACCGAACTAGGGCAGCCGGGATTAGGGCTGGTAGCCAAACGGGCGTCAAGTTAAAATGTCTAAGAGCAAAGCAGATCCTTTTCTTATCACCGCTTCCAGATGGAGCAGCTGGGTGCCGGACTAGGGGGGAGAAGAGAGGGTGTTTATGCTATTTAAAAACAAATGACCATCGGCAGGGGTCCATCGAACGTTCACACTGTTGGCCCCTTTGTCCGGGGCCTTTTGGGGTTTGATCGCTGGAATTCAGGAAGATAAATTATTTCAACGGGCAGGACAGGCACCGCCAGGCGTTGGCTGAGACCATCCCGTCTTAACGAGACTGGTTTTAAACTTCCTGCCCCAGAATGGTTTATGAGCTGCCCAGAGTGGTTTAAGGTGGGCAGCCATATAAATCTGTAAAATAAATAAAAAATAAGTGGTTTCTCTGCTTGGCCAACCCCAGCGAGCCAGATGATCGGCGAAACTTTAGTGGAAACAGGAAAGGTTGCCGTTCTGGGGCTGCAAAAGGGGTAAGGAAAGTGGCGCTCTCATTCAGTCGCAGCGAATAAAACGAAGTGGTTGAAAAGAGATCTCCTCCCGAAACCAGGAATGAGCAGATGATTTGGGACTGCAGCCCCAGATCCTCTTTATTGCATCTCCAATAAAGAGAAGACAGTCCCATGTGGCTTCGACAGTCAGAAAATCTCCTTTGCAAGAAGAGCCTTGCTCTGGGACCTACAGCTTTCTAGGTATTTTAAAATGAGCAGACAGGAAGGAAAAAAAGGATGTTTGCTGTATTTGGGTTTGATGGAAGAGAAACGGATTTAGGCAGGTGGGAAGGAGATAGGAAGAGATAGATCTGAGCTAGCCAACTTGATTCTCAAGGCAGAAGCCCAACATCTTGGGACGATCCGGAGGACAAATGGAAAACGGGACGCTAACGAAATGAAATGCACTGTCTTGAAATGTGACATGCATGTTTACCTCTGGGTTCAACAACCTATTTCTAGTTTAATTTGGGTATGCAATTCTCCTATTTTAACACCCTGCTCCTCTCCGAAAAAGCAAGGAGGCGAGCAATTACAAAGATCCCTTGAACTTGGCTGGCGAAGGAATCTTGTGACTGGGAATCGTTCCTGACCTTCCGAGGAAGCTGATGGGAGCCTGTGCTCCTCTGCTGAGCATCGCCAAGAAGCAACAGGGAGCATGACTCAGTGTTTCTTGGGAAGGGACCCAAGAGCCGGGAAACAGAGTTCCACCGAGTGCATCTCCATGAATGTTCAGCAAAAAACAGAAAAAGGCCGGTCTCCTACACAGCGTGAGGCTGCGAGGGAGACAGAAGATGACGGACAAGTTGCCAAATTAGGCCTCTGTTGAGTTGTGCATCGGAAGAAGGCAAATGAACCCACTGATGGCTTTTGTGCACTCCAGCCATGCCTTGCATGCGCCATTCCCTTGAAAGAGGGCAGCTGCGTTGCTCCTAAGCCACCTCCTTGGCCACAGAACGGACATCAACTTGGGCAGCTGTTTCCACTAAACTTTGCACCTCTGGGCCAGCCTTTAACTTCGGAACAATAAAACATGAAAGGTTTTGCTTACAGATAAAACAAACCGATGCAAAGAAGAAATGTGAGGGATCTTTGGTGCCCCCCGCCCCCAAGCTATGAAGGGCTCAAGAGAATGGGGGCGGGGAGGAAGGTTTTCCTCTTTGAAACTCAGCTGATTTAAGGACGAAACGAGGCGAGCCGAGAAAGGAGCTTGCAAAACCGGAAGCAATGTTTTCCTGAATTAAGTTTAAAAGATTCTCTAATCCCTGTTTTCCTCCTCTTCTAAAGTATGGCCAGTACAATGTTTCTGGAACAACTGTATGCAGTGTTTGAAGGCAACAGTTGTCTGCCAGGTGCCCCAGAATCTACTGATCAGAAGGACCCACCTCCTTCCTCTAGAGGACCCCATACCAGTCGTAGTTGATCAGCTAGATGCGGACCCTTTTACTTAGACCCTGGGGCCTCTGACTTGGAAAGAAAGGAACCCCCCCCCCACCTCTCAAGGACAGAACTAGCCATGAGTTGGGAGAGAGGCTGCCATGCTGGTGGCGTGGCTTCTGGATGGGACCTGAAACTTTGCAGGATACAACTAGCAAAATCAAGGCTGGATACCTTCAGCTGCATCTGGGTGGGGAATGCAGAAGTTGGGGGTATTTAAGGCCACTCAGAAGGTGGTTTGCTTGGTGGAGTAACTATGCTGATACAAGAAGCTGAGAGGCTCTTGCCTGATAGTGGGGATTCACTGATTTCTGGATGGGCTCTGGGCCCTGTTTTCACCTTCCCCTCGAACTCTGAGGTCGGATGGGGACAGACTGCTGAAACTAGTCAGGGCGCCTGCCTGGGCCCTCGCAACTCTCATAAAAAACTGCATTCTGATTTACAGCTCCGCCAAGAAGGAAGCTAATAGATGGAATGATTTATGATTGCTCTGTTTAACTCCCCACCAGAGTCTTTATGAAACTGCTTCTGAAAACAGGGGTGCCAATTCTCTTTCAACCTGTTCATCTAAACTAGGTCACCAGGATACCTCGGGGGCAGCCAACTCCCAAAACCTGAGTTGCCTCCTTCAACACAGTAGGTTTTCAGTCTGTTTATAATGATTAATCGTCAGAAATGTTTTCTTTTCAGAGGCTCAGACAAACTGGGGATTACAGCTGAAAGATTATCGATGTTTTTTCAAGGCGGAAGAAACCCTCTGATGGTTTCACAGGTTGCTACCTGGTCAGTTACATTCCCATCACTAGAAGCAAAAGTTTTTTCCATGCACTAGAGAGCAGAAGCCTCTGAAACTGTTAAGAAGAATGATCCTCACAGTTGCTGTTTAGAGCCACAAATGGATCAGTAAGTTCTTGTTTGCTTCACATCCCTTTGGAAGGACAGTTCCAAAGAGAAGCCACTTTGGGAACTTGGAAAAACAGAAACACTTGCTTTGGCTTGCATTTTCACACAGAAATCTTTGCCCCACTGCTCCCGGCTTTCACACATCACCTTTTGCGACATGCCGAGACAGAAAATTGGCAGGTGCCAAAATAGAGAAAGGCTGGTGATATCGTACTTCATTGGAACAAATAGTTCCACCTACATCCTCTCTCTGATGCTAATAGCGAAACTGAGTATGTTTTACTAAGGAAGAGTCCATGAATTCCTCGCCAGTTAGCAAAGCTGCAGTTAAAAGGCAATCTGAAAAGGTTTCTGACGCCTGATCTACAATTTATATTGCTTTCTTGCTATTAGCTGTGTCTCCCTTCTGCAATTTGCCAATGCAAACATGACTGCTCCAGGCCTGCCTGCAACTAGATGCAGACATGCCATAGACTCCAAAAGGTGACACAGTCCTAAATGCAAATTGAGTTGAATCATGCATGTTTCTGTAAGGTGTAACAACCTTTAGAACAGAAGTGGCCCCTGGCCAAGAAGAGATACCAAGGACTGGCAACAGTCAAATGGTACATTGCCCAATCTAGATTTTCTTTTGACATTCAGATAGGCAGGACTGTGCAGACACACTCAAATGCGTGGACTGCATGACAGCAGAATCAAGGAGCTTTGGGTCCTCCCCCCACTGGAAATCAAGCAGGCGGCCTTTTCTGTCTGTGTACCCCAATATTGCAAGGATAAGGCCATCTTACTCTCCAGGTCTTGATCTGGGCTTGGGGGAACTTTTTACAAACCAACTTGTACAGAAAAGGGACAATGGAACTGAGTAACTAAGATGGAGGGGAAAAAACAGCCCCTGCGAAACTTTAAAAAGAGATCCCCCCCCCCTTCCTGTGTAGGATTGTGAATGGCTTGAGTCAAAGGAAGGATCGATTCTGTATTTATTTGGAGTCAGCAAATGGCAGCACCAGACATTCCCAGGCCTTTCTGGGAACGAGGACTGTTTGGAAATTACCTGTCAAACAGGGTAATGCTGGTTTATGCTGAGCTCTGCAACTGCAGGCCTGGCACCGTGTACGCATGCATTAATTCTGGGTACAGCTGAAATCAGCATATCGCTCCCTCTTGTACTCTGGGCCAAAACCTTGTGCCTAAACATGATGCCAGCCCAAATCAGTGGGCGCTGAGAAATTCCTGCTGGGTGCCTTTGGCGAGGCTTTGGCTGGGAAAACGCAGGCGCACTTGTTATGCAACGGGGAACAAAACAAGCCCGTGGATGTATCGGGAGCATGGTTTATATGAGGACATGGTGAAGATCGGCAGGTTATACCAGGTTAAATGATGGGTTTCTCTAGCCAAGAATTGCCTATTGAGACCAGTTATTCATGTCTCCTGTGGGTTTTCTGGATCATAGACAAGATAAGTTCTCCCCGTCTGCTTAAGCAAGGTTCTTCTGACTCATGGGAAGTTGGGGGGGGGGGGTACAGGCAGTACCCAGGGGTATCAATGTGTCCATGAACAGCTTCCAACCTGGCCTACACCAATGTGAAGGACTGGTTTCTCCATTCTCTTTTATTTCCAGAAATGCTTCTGGATCCCCCTTAATGTTCTTCCAAAAAGGAAGCACCTGGCAGCTTAGCTTGGTCTACCACTGTGCCCACCAGTCTGGGGAAAAAGTTAAAGGTCAGCAAGAGTATTTAGGCATGCCTTGGCAATTGGGGAGAGGGGGAATCAGAGAGGATGGCAAGTAGCATTTTGATAAACTGGGATTTGCACATTAATAAAAGGGCTGCAAACAGACTTCCAACATGTTTTCAAATTTTCAAATCTGTCTACTGGTCCCCCCCGACCAATTAGGGAGCCCTGTCTTATTACATCTTTGATCACATACATGAAGCATATTCTCACGCAGCCTGACTTCTCCACCTGTTCCCTTAATGTCTAATTATTGCCTGCTCAGAAGACAGCAAGACAAATTGTAATTACCCAGCATCAATCAGATATTAAGTCATTTGCAATTCAAACAGTTGTCTTGCCTTTTTTTTTCCCCCCATCACAGATCAACAAAGTTTTATAACACGAAACTTAAAAGCAGCTGCTTCTGTGGGGGAAAAGGGGCGTGGGCTGCAGATAGAACCGTCACAGTCACTGCCAACTCAAGAACATCTTGGGGCCGGGAACGCCTTGGGGAACTTCATTCCGATGGTTTTGTCCCCAAGCTATCTCCCAGTTCATGGCGTGAGTAAGGTGTGAGATGCACACCGAGTCAAGGAAAGGCACTCGTTAGCTAGATGGGCATCTCTCTGGCACTGCGCTTTGTGGACATTTCGGACATCTGCTGTAGGAACAGGACTGCTAGAATGTTTACAGCCCAGCTCCTGGAAATAATGAAAATGTTGGGGTTGGGATCAAAACCTGAAAAGGAGAACAGAAAGGATGGGCAAGGGCAAGGGCAGGAAATTGAGGGAAGAGAGATGGATGTAGGGTCAGGAATAGATTTTGCCCGTTAATTTTCAGAATATTCTGGCATTTTGTTGTGAAGCATCAGTATTTCAGCCCTTCATAGCTCTTTTCTCCATTTTCCTCTAGGTGCTGAATAAGACTTTTCCATGAGTCTTTCATGCTGCCTTCAAAACTCCCGCTGAGAAAGTAGTTAAGCTGAATGCGAGATGCTCAAGACTATCCCGAGCCCCACAGCAGTGGGGGGATTAGTACACCATCCACCCAACACATGGAAGAGAGAGTTACTGCACCTATTTCCAGGTTTGCCACCTTCCATTTTGCCTCTGCTAGGACTAATCTGGGGGGCTTTTAGGGGTGAGGCAGCGGTGGTCATCCAGATGTTTCTATACAGCTTCCGTCAGCCTTAATTATTGGTCCTGCTGGTTCAGGCTGAAGTGATTTGGAGCTTCAAAATTTCTGGAGAGCTCAAGGCTCCGTTTTCAAGCGGCGCTTGAACAGGAGATGCGTACCAGCTCTGGTGCATGTGGGTTTTTATTTGCACTGGAAGTCATTTGGCAGAAATGCACCATCAAATATTTTGGGTGGCTGTTCCATCTTAGACAATTCTGCCCTAGGCTGGCATGCTACATATTTCAAGAAGGGCCTTTCTTCGCTGGCCGTCAGGACGGCCAAACTCCAAGCGGAGGGAAATGCCAAAGCTTTTAACCGCTAGGTGAGTTTCATGCTCTTTCCATGGGAAGCAAAGGGCTGGATGTGTAATTAAGACCCCTAAACCATCTAAAAATTGGCTGGGTGACTTTGGGCCGGTCCCTCTCTCTCAGCCCAGCCCACCTCACATAGGAGGAGGAAGAAGCGTTAGGTATGTTTGACGACTTAAAAAAAGTAATAAAAGGCGGGATAAAAGTATCACAATAACAATTGTGTCTTTTCAAGACACCGGCACTGTAAGATACCAAGCTTGGACAGATAGAGTGCTCCTATTTTTCGTGCTCAACCTTTTTTTTTTTTTTGTATTGCAGAATGACAGGAAACCCATTCCCAGCAAAAGGGGTGAGGCTACAAGGGCTTGGGGACCCCGCTTGGGGATACGGTCCCAAAGGAGCGAAGAGCAGCTTTGCAAGGGCTCGGCCTGGGGTCCCCCAGATGGAGAGGCTGAGCACCCACATTTTCCACAGGCAAAGCCCACCCCTGGAGCGCTTTTGCAAAATGGGGTGCACACTTTTCCTCCCCCCTCCCGGGCTTGTGCAAAGGGCCTTGCGATTTTTTAAATGCAATTTTTTATAGATGCATTTTTAAAGGCATGCCAGGCGAGGCAAGCGGGAGCGCTGGGGGAGGCTGCCCCATAGCAAAGCCAGGGAGAAGGGGGTCAGCCCGGATCGCTCCAGCCCGAGGCTTTCCCACCCCCCGCCCCCTCCCCGTGA